GCAACTGGAGAAACATGTCGAACAATATGTTCTATGCAGAATCATTCAACATCACACCCGTGTACAGCTGGACAGTTGGATTCGTTTAAGATTTTACATATGCAGAATATTATGGGAATTTTATGATATCCTATGTAGTGATCAGTTTAAGTATTAAGATTTTCAAGCTATATTCAAGGAATATTCTTATTTTCTAATTACGGAGATAATTTAGGAAACTAATGATTGAAGTCATATTTTTTTGTACAGAAGTTTCTATTGATTTGTAGCAGGTGATTTGCTGCGCTTGTAAAGACCAATCTAGTCCAGAGGATGGCTTTAAATAGATTGTCACTAACCTGGTTTTAGTGTGGAACTTACATGTTTTTTTAGGTTTTGTGTATGTTATTTGTGAGCCTCTCGAATATCATCTTGATAGAAGAGTATGATTGGTTTTCAAGTTGTAGGTTCTGTCAATCGTTCCTAAGCTTTTAAGCAGTGAATGATTGTGTGTCTTTGAAGTGCGTCTTCTGAAATTATTCTAAGATTGTTTAGAGTTGTTCAGTCACTATTGTGATTGAAGGGGATTTGAGAAGGGTCTCGTACCTAGGTGAGTCTTAGGTAGAAGTTAAGCACTAGTAGTGATTAAGTGAGTAGGTTATAAACTAGGTTAGAGTTTGTTGTGGATCTACAAATTGATACTAATTAATTGACTTCGTCCCTGGCTTGGTAGCCCCTAGAGTATGTGTTGTTGTACACCGAACTAGGTTAATAATTTTGTGTGTTGTTTACTTTCTGTACTATTTTATTTTGTTCATTGTGTTATTACTCAAATATCGATGTCTCGACATCTCTTAGGACATCTGATATATGAATACCAGAATTTCAATTGGTATTAGAGCATGCGTACTGCTCTAACTCTAGGTGAGATTCATAGAAGTTACTTTCTAATACAATGGACATGGAAGGAGTATTTTTTAACAGACCACCCATTCTTGACAGAACCAATTATGACTATTGGAAGGCTCGAATGATGACTTTTATTAATTCCATGGACAACAAGGCTTGGGAATCAGTTGTCAAAGGATGGGATCCACCAATGGCTAGAGATAAGGATGGGAAGACTATGTAAGAATAAGAATTTTTTTGATATCTAACCTTAATATTTTGATGATAACTTTACATGGTATCATAAAGAACAATTTTATACTCTAATGGTTTCGTTCTAGTGTGTAGCTGTTTCTGTAACATTCTAACTCTAATATCAAGGCGTGTGACGCCATCAGGTTCAGAACATAAACACTACTAGAAAAAAAACATTTGGTTATGTATTAAAGTTGAAGTCAAGATTATGAAATTCGTCTTATGCAACGGTTCTTAGGAACATTAGTACAAGAACTTCTGATCGTGACTTTGTGGTTAAGCTTTGGAGGCCTTTTAAAGCTTTTCTTTTATGTGTTCCAAGTTCTGAAGATTATGAAGAGTTTTTTTGAACAAGTTCTGATGATATGAAGAAAAACAAGTTCTTACGACCAAGTCTTGAAGACTCTGAAGACAAGGTTCTGATGGGACAAGTTTTGAAGACTACAAGACTTAGGTTCTAAGGCTTAAGAGTGATTCTTCTACAACAAGCTTCAAACATTCAAATTATCTGAATCCTTTGAAGATTAGAAGAAGTTCAAAATGGTTAATGTGTGATGGTGTACAAAAGGTACAAAAAATGCTATGTGACCACTACCATCTAGGATGGTGTAAGGACAATCCTTTCGTATTGTATTGTTAATCACTCTCATTGTGACTGTTGGGAACAAAAAAAATATTTCCATATTATCTTTCTACCCTTAAAGGATCTTTGTCTACAAGCTAAGTAGAAAAACATCTATTGAATATAAGGTTAAAGTTAAACGTTGTAAAGTGACAGACAATGAATAGTATCACTATGTACTGTCCAAACTCTTACACCTTATTCTATCTGTTGGAAACTAACAGTTGATGTAGGAAAGGATTTTTTAATCCTCATAATGTATCTCTCTCTCTCTCTCTCTCTCTCTCTTAAGGCTATAAAATAAGATCAAAGATTTGAATTTAAGTTCTCTTGGCCATTAAGCTGAAAAGTCGTGGATACTGAAGCTGTCAAAGCTGCAATGTTAAATATGTTGAAGACCACTACACAGAAGTGAGAGAAAAGAAAGAAAGATAAAGAAGAAGAGATCTACAATATGCTACACATACTATCATCATATACATCTTGGTAGATCTCATAAGAAGTAAGGAGTTGTTGCTCGTATCTTGCTCAACAAGAAGATGAAGAAGAAAAAGAACACTACAAGATGCTACCCAGCTTCTGATCAAATACATCTTGATAGAACATTGTAATTTACATAAGAGTTGTTGCTCGTATTGTGTTATATTTCTAATCTCTTCAAGTAAATTGTTTTAACACAAGAGTTGTTGCTCGAAATTGTGTTAAACAATATGTGCTTAATCACTTGTATAATCTGCTTAGAAGAAGTAATCATGTAAACACAAAATCTTATCAACTGTTTTTGATTGATTCCTTGAGTGACCAATTGAAGGTATGATCTCAAGAAGACAATGGTTGCGGTCATTGTGGAAAATCCTGATAGGAGATCTTAAGTGGTCAAATTTTGTTGGGTCAATGATTGTTATATTTGTTAAGTTGGATCACTGAACATATCATTGAAAGGTTCATTGAGGGAATGAGTGAAGGTCTGATCTCAAGAAGATAGTGGCTACAGGTCATTGTTGAAAATCCTAATAGGAGATCTTAAGTGATCAGATTTTGTTGGGTCAATGATTTTTATATCCGTTAAATTGGATCACTGAATATATCATTGAAAGGTTTCTTGAGTGATTGAGTGAAGGTCTGATCTCAAGAAGACTGTGGATGCGAGTCATTGTGGAAAACCCTGATAGGAGATCTTAAGTGATCTGATTCTATTGGGTCAATGACATTATATTTGTTAAGCTGGATCACTAAACGTGTCATTGTCTGTTAGTCGCTGGGGGTTTCCCGTGAACTTTTAATCAGTTTAGTTATAGTGGATTAAGTTCTTGTTAAAGGAAAATCACCTTGAGGGGTTGACAGGATTAACCTTGTTAAGGTGAACCTGGATAAGTTTATTGTGTTTATTTACTCTTCACGACATTCTATAGCCTTTATCATTTAAGTAATCAGAATTTCGTAAAAGGGAATGTTTTCTACAAACCCAATTCAAACCCCCCTTTCTTGTGTTTTCTCTTCTTTCAGACTACTGATGCGCTGAAGGCTAAAGAAGACTGGGATGATGAAGATTACAAGTTATCATAGGGAAACTCCAAAGCATTGAATACCCTATTCAATGGAGTGGATAAAAACATCTTCATATTGATAAGAAATTGTACTATTGCTAAAGAAGCTTGGGAGATTTTGAAGACTGCGCATGAAGGAACCTCTAAGGTGAAGACATCAAGGCTCCAAAGTCTTACTGGCTTATTGCATTGCATTTGCATATCTTCCATTAGGTCATCTGCATATCAGGCATTTCATTCAATAAAACACCCGATGTTCAAAGCTCAGTGGTGGTGTGATATCAGGGTTTCACATTGTTTTTAGGTGTATATATTTAATAAAGCCTAATTATTCAGATTCTCTTAGTTCTTATTCAAGCATTGTATTGTGGTATAGGGTTTTTGGTTCTGGATTTGTGGATTTATTTCTTTATCATATATTCATCCAGAGCAAAGTGCATTAGGGGTTTCACTTATGGTACTTAGTGTCTCATCAAAGGTTGAAACTAAGGTTGCTTTGAACCAGGATTTTGGATTAAACTATCTTTTTCCTCATTGAGCATCCAAGGTCAAGCAATTAGGGTTTACATCTAATCACGCTTGAGTTTTGTTTAACTGAGGATCATTAGATATCCAGGAGTTGTTCTATGCTTCAAGCCTTATCGTTCATTTTTAAGGATTCAAAACATTGATATTTTATTGATCATCAAGCCAAGACATGATACAAGGATGATGTTATGAATTCATTAAGATTAAGTCATTTTTGATTCTCTTATTGTTTGTTATACAAGTTTGATGGAGATCGAAAGGGTGGATTGGTGTGGAGTCATGTCATGGATTCAAAGTGATTCAAATGAATCAAAGTGTTTAGAGCTTGTAAGATTGGAAAGGATATGTGTTTGATTTCCTCAGGATTGAGGTTACAAAGACATTTGTGTGGTATTTCCATCCATTAACCATTCAAAATCCGTTCAAGAGATGATGGGGGAGTTCTAATTCGAGTTTTAAACACTTTAGATTTCATGAGTTTTAAAGACGACTTGTTGTTCAAGAAAGCCATAGATTCATTTGAAATCAAGATTATTTACGGAAGAAGTGCACAAGATATCATTCTTCATCACCCATTATTCAATGCATGCTAAATCATCAAAGTTCATCTTGAAATTCAAGAAACATCACTCTATCGGTTTTTATGTTCATTCAAGTTTATATCATGATCCATTCAAGTTTGATACAAAAGTATCATCATCCAAAAAACTACACAAAGTTGTACAAAAGCAAGAACACCGTCACAACTTTAAGATCAAAAAGAAGAATGCGCTTGGAAGAGAACATTTGAGATAAGCAGGTTTTCTTCATTAATCCCAAAATTCATACACAAAAAGATTTACAAAAAGAAGCCAAAGATCCTTTTCATCATTATAAATAAAGTGTAAATTTCCATTATATATAAGAAGATTCATGCAAAAAAAAGCTTATACTAAAATAATTCAGTGTTCTAAATCTAGTCCTAAAATTCTAGGCTTTGTTCCAAGCTTCATTTCATCGTCTTCCTAATGGTCTTGTTCATCATAGTTATCAAGCTTGCCTTTGTGCCATGGATCATGCTTCCAAAGTGATGCTCCAAATCAATTTATCATTGACACTTGTGCAGTCCTTCATTTTGTATAGAGAACCAGTACATAAGCCAAATTTTTATCAAGAAATCATACAAGACCAATTCAACAAATTCATCCCTGCACCATAAAATCCAAACAGAGACCTGCCCTATACACATCAACAGATCTAAACAATTTCACTTCTAATTTCTCACCTATTTCTAACAGTTCCAACAAATTGTCGAACCAGCCTTGCTGCAATAATCCCAACCGTGCTTCAAATGTTGTCAAAACCAGTCCATTTAAAAATAACCCAACCTGCATCCAAACCAGTTCACAATTAGTAAATCCAATTATGCACATCACAAATAAACAAAACCAAATTCAATTCAACAATGATTTCATACACCATAAACAAGTTCAAATAAAACTGGTTTAGCCCCAATTAGATCAGTTATCCAGAAGAAAGTCAGTACCAGCTCATTCAAAAATCATAAAAAGGATGAGAAAAGTTTTATCAATAAATAAGAGAAAAAAAATAGTACAACTCAACAATACAGGAAATCAGAGGAAAAATAAGATCAAACTGTGAGAAAATATCACATAATAGATACGCCAGCTCATTAAATGAGAAGGAAAAATTAGAAGAAGAGTTACAATTTTACAGCTCATTCAATCCCACCAAATCAGGGATTATTCTCTCCACTCCAAAAACCACTCACGCATTCCTCACCCTCATTCCAGCCTAACAAAATTGCTTGCTTCCCAGTTCATTCTTATCCAATTCACAACTCATACCCTTGATCTTATCCAAACCTCCAATTTTTCTTCTCAAAACTACCCTTTTATCTCCTATAAAACAAGCCTCTAAATCCTTTCACGAGACACAATTTTTCAGGCAGAGAATTACCCTACAAACCTTACCCAAACTCTGCTCAAAAAAAATTGCACATAAACTTCTACTCACAGCCAACCTCACACTTCATCTACGTTCAATATAAAATATTCTCTCTTTTTTCAACCTTTGCTTAAACTTTTACTGATCAACCTCGTCTCACTGCAAGTTCAACCTAAAATCCATCAATGATTTCTCTCTGCAAAATCGAACCTCATATATACTCAACAGAACCTCAGTAAACCTCTCAGACCAACACTTCACACTCATAACAGACCTTCAACATCATAAAATTAACGAATAATTACGAAGGAGAAGAATAACAGAAGAATTTATGGAAGCGTATTTTTTACCTTCAAAGTTGTGATTTTGCCATGGTGAGCTTTCGATATCATCTTGTTACCTCCTCGTGCATCTTCTTTTTGCCTCCATCGTGGACTTCTGTTGGGAATTTAGACTTAGGTTTAGGTTGGGAATGAAACGTATTTAAACATTTGGTTGAGAATCTTGGAAATCCAAGCTTAGGTTCATTTTCTACACGTAAACAAGGGAGGGGATGGTGTTGGGGTTTTAGTTTTCTGTTTGGTTTTTGCCGGAGAAGACGGCGGGGGCCACCGTACGCCACCGCCTTGTCTAGCGGTTTTGTTTCTTTTTCCGGTAAGAAGTTGAGATAGATAGCGTGAGAGAGAGAGGTTGAAAGAATAACATGATTGGAGAGTAGCTTTTGTATCAATTTTTTGTTTTGTTTTTGTTGTCTCAGGTGGGACAGGTGTAACTAGTCGGTGGTGACACCATATCTAATCCCGCGTGCGTGCGTGTGACCGCTGCTCATACTGGGTACCTCATCAAGTTAGCCATCAAATGCCTAGACTGAGGTTCATATAGAGTCAATGAATCTGACCAAAAGACTACCATGCACCATCATCAACGTGGGCCTCATCCTGATGGGCTTAGCGAGATTTTGACTGATTACACCCCCAGTTCCTACAAGCACACCCTTTTCTCTTAACTCTTTCTTTTTACTTTTTCTTAACTTCTATTTTGTTTGTTTTTCTTTTATACTTTTATTATTATTGAAATATAAAAAATAAATATGTGAGAATTGATGTTTTAAATAATTATTTATTTTTAAATAATTTTTGTTTGATGGTATTAATTAAATTATTAATTAGTATTATCAAGTAAATATTTAATGATTTGGACATGTATTGCGTGATTAATTAGGGCCTTTATAGTTTTTATTTTTGTCATCCCCATTTGGAAAATGTATCCCCTATCCCATGGACTTGTAATAGCTTAGTTATTTGTAAGTTGTATGCTTGTATCCCTATTTCACCATTGCACACAATTCACACACTTGACTAAATTAATTGAATTCGATTTCAAACCTCTTGGTCCATATACCAAGTTTTTCTAAAGGATCTCATAGTTGAAAATGGGCATGACCATTCTCACAAGATTAGTCAAAGAATTTGCTTGCATCGATTAATCATAACTCGAATCAATCACTTTGGTACATGTACCAAGTATTCCATGCAAGAGGATCTCATATTTGAGAGTAGGATCACCTATTCTCACGAGATTAATCAAGTATACTCCTTGGTTAATCATAACCCGATTAAACTCTCTTGATCCATACACCAATCATTCCAATTATTCTTTTCATGAGACTAATCATTTTGTTGTTACTTTTGCTATGATTTTGCAATCGATTATTGATGCGTCCCTTGTGCGCTTGAGTATTAATTTGGTTGATCATCAGCGAAGTTCCCACAAGTTTTTATAGCGCGTGTTTAAAGAGGCAACAAACATTCTCTATTTGGTATCATTGTAGCTCTCTTTATTTCTCATTCTCGCATTGTTTTCAATTAATCTCGCCGTGAGAAGTATGCTAGAGATGCCTGACTAAAAGTCTTACCTTTGTCTTGTTTTGTAACATGAGCCCTAAACCTCTATTGCATGACCCTTGCATATACCACTTAACACTTCACTCCTCACTATGCATGATCACCCTTCACTACACACTTGCTTTATGTGTCTCTTATTGCTTGATACTTACTTTCATCTTCTTTCTTCTTTAAATAATATGTTCCCTTAGGATGTTAGTTTCATCTTCTTTGAGATGTGAATTAACTAGACCTTAGTTTCTTATCCATGCATGCTAACTTAGGTAGAAGTTTCCCATTCAACCTTAACCTTAGGGCCATTATTTATGATAATATTAGGATCTTTTAGTCTCCCTTAGACTTTTTCATTCCCCTTTTGCATACTCTTAAAACTAAAACTTATTTTTCTTTCAAAACCTTAAAACACTTAATAATAAATGGTGAGAATCACATTTTTGTTAAGTGATAGAAATAATAAGCAGGTTTCTTCTCGATCTTATCATTATTTCATTCTTAGTCTTTTGTGTGGTTCAAGTCTCAAACTCTTTTGATAAATAAGTGGAGAAAATGGCTAAATCTCTCTCTCTCTTGAGATCAATTAGTTATTATTCACAACAAAAACACAAACCAATTCAAACTTCTTTTTTCCACCTGGCTTTAGCCATTCCGATGCAAAGCAAACCCCAAAGACTTAAGCCTCTTCAAACGAGCACCCAACAAGTCAATGCTCCGACGTTTGGAATGTCTAACGTATCATATTCATAAAAACACACACGATAAATAAAAACATTTTCTAGAAGAACTATGAGTGCCTTGATCCCCATTGCATGGAAGATGGTACGTAGGCACAAAGGTTCACAATCGCGACAGGCACAACTAATAAAATATTTCTTTTTCTATATACTTTGCATTACATACATTCCCTGGTAGCATTAAACTTTAGACTTAGATTTTTATACACCCTTAGATAAGAACAAACTTGAGTGGATCTTGTGGAGTACCATGGACATGAGAGGTGCTAATACCTTCTCCTTACGTAATTGACTCTCTTACCCTTTTCTCATGGTCGTGAGACCGTGCTCTTTCCTATCCTTTAGGTTTACTCAGTGTTTCCTTTCCCTCTATTTGGATAAATAATATTGATAACGACTATGTTTTCTTCCTATCGTTCGCACTTCGATGAAAAATCCCAAACGCGATAGCTGGCGACTCTGTTGGGGACTACTTAGTCAGTCAGTCCTAGACTTTGTTTGTTTTCTTTCCTTTAGTTGTTTGTTTTGTTTATTTCTTTATTGCTTCATTTTTATATGCTTTCACGCGTTGCTTCTTATTTCATGGTTATACTCTGGATATTGTTGTTGTGTTCTTTCTTTGTTGGGCTGGGATGATACTATTGAGGTAAAAGGCCTAGTACCTAGGCCAAAGTTGTAAACCATTAGGAATCCTAGGACTAGAGTGGGGACATGACGGCTACTGGACGAGGTTCTACTAGTTCGGTCATGTGTACCATGCTCTGTTGAGGTACAAATGGGATATTATCATCATACACGTACGTGTTGTGATGATAGTACTTTTAGGCGGACCCGTGATTCTGAGTCTCCCTTGCCTTACCCTGACCTAGATTTCACTTGTGAGTGGGGAGGGATGATTCTTACATGTATCGTTGGTGACTTTGGTTATGTTGGTGACTATTTGGTTCTTATTGGTGACTATTCCAATTTTTTTATTTCGTGACTTGTGACTCTATACAACCGTTCAGTAGTTATCCAGTGTTCTGAAAGCCTTAATCTCATATAGTTGTGGATGTACATGGTACTTGGTTCTTGTATATTATGAAATTATGCTGGACTTTTGGTCCTATGTCACTCGGATGGTTCAAAGATAGTGCAATCATTATCCATTGTGGAAGCCTTGATCCTATATCTTTGCATTCATAAGCACTGTTAATCTCATGTTATCATACATTTTCTTTCAATTACCAAGGAATCATCTCTATGAGCCTCGTGCGAAGCTTTTTTAGCTCTTGCTTAAAGAATCAAAGTTAAAAACATGAGGGCTCCTTAGAAATAATCCAACATGTCTTTGAATACATACCATGCACTCCATATATCTCATGCATAACAGGTATTCAGAGTTGGGGATCCTTATTCAGACTTGGTATTCTCTCCATAATTGCATACTTGACTTCTTACTGCTTCGTGATCAATTATGGAACAACTTCCTGGGAATTTGACCGAGATAAAGGTTTAGATGAGGTTGATTATGAGAGACATGTCAGTTATGGCCCGTAGTCAGGAACTCTTGAAAGAGGAAAACAATCAGTTGGAAACTCAAATGTGTTTGGTTATGGAAATTTTGAATACAGTGTTTGTAAAGGAAGGTGAGCCTATACTTGCTGCTGCAACAAAAGCTGTCATCCCCCTAATCATGCAGGGTCTCTTTCAAATCATGAGTTATTTTGTGGATCTCTCCCACAACTTGGCGTGCCCGGGTCTTCTCGTCTGCAACTGGTGTTTGTTCCCTAAGTGAATCCATGCGGAAAAGCTTATTAGCAGAAATAGAAGAATCATGAGCATCATACTGATATAATCTTGATGCCTTACATGTAGCTACTTCCTCGTCTGTTAGAAATTCTGTTGATTAAGCTTTGTGCTTTAGGTTCTCCTCCTACCTCCTGATTTTGATGATGCTAGATGTGTCTTCCATTATGGAGCATCTGGTCATGATATTGAGGACCGCAAGGGTTGAAGTATAATGTCCAACATTTGTATGGTATCTTTTCCAAAGTCCAATTCCTATTTGGAAAACTGTTTCAGAATCTTTTTCTCAGCTAAGTTTCACTTTTGTATGGTAGAAAATGAGGTTAAAGGAGTCCTGGAATGCAACATGTGATTATTTCTTTTGTGCAATAGAAGATGCTTTTGATTACAAGTTATGAATATCTATCATGTGAAGTAGAATACACTTGGTGATTCAGTATGCAAGTTCACTTGGTAAAGCATTCATCCCATATTTTGAGAGAATCCTGTGTGAATATCATTATGGGGAACTTGGCCATTCGGGTAAAGATAATATGTCATCTATAGATGAGGACCAAGATCTGATCAATTCAGAGACTGTTCTGTTCACAGCAGACCGGAATGGGAGTCTCTTTCCCAAGTGAGCATCAAGACTGTAGAAATTTGTCAGAATCAATAAGTCCAGACAGAGTCAAGTCTCCTCAACAATGGAAATCATTGGTTTCTTTATTGCATTTTCATTTTTAATCTTGCTTGTTTGTTTAAATGTTGCTTACATGTAGGAATTTGTTTATTTTTGAATGAAAATCTTAATGCATGAGTATGTTTGTCTTGAAGCAATCCTTTCGTTTTCACTCATCCACTTGTTATCACTCATAAAAAGATTTGCTTGCATATTGATACCAACTTTACCCGGTCTCTTGCTTAGGCAAATATTGGAGGGGGCATGACGATAATTGAAAAACGCAAAAATCTATGGTTTATATGCTT